CAATGCACCACCCAGGTGGTGGCCATGAGAGGTATCAGGGAAGGCTGCGGGGCGGAGGTGAGGCCTGCACAGGGCATGGAAGATGAAGGAACCCCCACACCCCACACCCTGTGCAAGTCTTCTCCTGGTGCTGGTGGGTCTGATGCCCGTCTGTAGGGCAGTGAAGCCTCTGTCCATGCCTTAGTCTCTTTCCGGAAGAAGGGAAGGATGAAGCCTGTAGCCTCTCAGTTGAGCTTGGCCCAGAAGTGGGCCCAGGAGCTGGTAGGGGAGGTGACTTGGGGGGATGGGAGTCCAGGCCTGTTGCATGGACACTGCCTCCTTAGCGACCCAGCTGTAAATCTGGATGCGCCCTCCCAGGGTTGTTGGGGAAGGATCTGGTTCAGTTCAGCGGGGAAGGGTCCCAGGCCCAGTCAGGAGGGGGCTAAGAATAATGCCTCCGCTGCCACCGTTACCCCATGGCCCTGGCCTGGCTGGCCCCCTCCCCCAAATAGTGTCTCCACATCTTGCTGGGGAAACTGAGGCTGTGAGGGGCGGAAATAGCCAACCACATGCACCGGTCTGCTTGGGCTGCCATTCAAAGTACCGGAGACTGGGTGGCTGAGACAAGACAAGTTCATTTTCTCAGTTCCAGAGTCGGTTTCCGGCTGTGTCTTCATGTGGTCTTCCCTCTGTGTGTGCCCGTGTCCTGATCTCCTCTTCTTATAAGGACACCAGTCACAGTGCATGGGGGTCCACCTAGTGACCTCCTTTTAACCCACCCCCTCGTTAAAGACTGTCTTCAAACACGGTCACATCAGAGGGGGCAGGATTTACGCATATGAATTGGGAGGGGGCACAGCTCAGCCCTAACACTCACATGAGCCGGAGGAAACATGGAGAAGCCCCTTCTGGAGAGATGGCAGCAAGGGCGGATCCCAGGCTGGACCCAGGTGATTCCTGCAGCCCCAGTGCCGACCGGGACCTCGGGCTGCTGCTCTCGGGAGATCAAGGCCGCGGACAGGAAGGCGGTGCCCAGTCCGGTCCGCGGAGTGAGCGGGGCCAGAGCGCAAGCGCCACAGGTGGAGAGCACAGCGGCGTCTGGGGAGCGTGGAGCGGGCGGAGGCAGGGGCCGGGGTTCAGAACCAAACCCAGGAACTGCTGTGGGCTGGCCGGTGCGGGGCCTGAGGGGCAGGTGTGTGCAAGCCTATGTGTGAGCATGAGTGTGTGTGTGTGTGTGTGTGTCTGCACGCGCTCCCCAGTCAGAATGGATGGGGTGAGCACCCCTGCCATGTGGAGCGTGTCCCAGGTGGGAGGTCCAGGCTGCCATGTCCACCCCTGTCGCACCCCTGAAGCACCTGTCCCCATCCTCTGGGCCTGGCCGGACCTCAGCTCTGTGTTGATCCTCCCCTCTCCCATCTGTCTTCCTTTGGAGAACCTTCCAGCAACTTTTCCTTCCCAAGCCCACGCACACACACTCACACACACATTCACACACATTCACACACACACACTCACACACACATTTACACACGCATTTACACATGCATTCACACTCACACATGCATTCACACTCACACATGCATTCACATACATTCACACACTCACACACACATTTACACACGCATTCACACACACACACATTCACACACAGCATCCCTGACACTGACAACCCCCCCGACTCTCCTCCCTCCCCCGGCCCCCGCCACACGAGAATGCTCTCAGGACCTCTCCCACCTCCCAGGGAAACTGAGTCCCAGCAAGGTCAAGCAGCGTCCTTTAGGCCCCAGAGTAAGTGAGGGGAAGAACAGAGATCAGTGTGGAGGCCTCAGGGACGCCCCACATCACCCACCGCAGGTCTCAGGGCCCAGAGGATAGGATTCGTGGTGATAACAGGAGGGGTGCTCAGTGTCACAGTGACATAAATACTAACATTGTGGTACCCCGATACCATCTTATCTGGCTCCCCTTTCTGAAAGCCAGCTCCTTCCAGAACCTGTCTCCTTATGGTCAAGGCTGCTGGGAGGGGCCTTGCCCTCGGGGGCCATCCAGCTCCTTGTGGGTGCTCTGGTGAGGAGGCTCATGCTGGCCCACAGCCCCCTGGTCAGTACTGGGCAGCTCACAGAGATCCATTTATTTAGCCAAACTCCATCGAGGGCAAGATGTGCACCGGACACGCCTCTTCAGCTCCTTCCTCCACGCCCCCTGAGTCCACTGCCCATCTGGTGGCCCCTGCTCCCACTGTGTCGCCAAGGGGTCCAGATGGCCAGGCCTGAGGTTGGGACGGTAAGAGGGTCAAAGGGCACTAAGTGCCACTTAGCAGCCTCTGGGGTGGCCTGTGGATGCTAAGTGAGGCAGGGCCAGTGAATCTGCCTGCCGCATCCCCACCCTGTCCCCTGGCCTGGAGAGTGGGCCATTGCAGCTCCCCAGCCACCGCCTGGCCGGCCCTCAGCTGCCCTCCTCCACCTGCAGCAGGACAAGCATGGTGGTCCCTCCCCGTCTCAGCCCCGATATCCCATGCATCTGACCGTGTCCCTCCTCCCCCCTCAGTTTCTTAGCTACTCTCCATGCCCCTGTGAGGGGGCAGATGTCACCACCTCAATTTTAGAGGTGAAAACAGGCTCAGCATGGAAGCAACATGCTCACTGAGTGTGGCAAGGAGGAGCCTTGGACTCGAGTCCCAAAGCCTCTGTCTGTTTGTCCGCTTCCTGCTGCTCTCGAAGCAGCTGGTGGCTGTTCCCTGGCTCGGGCCATTACCCTGGACTGTCACAGGAGTGTCTCGGGGCCAGCCTCGTCCCGGGGGGCAGGAGCGTTTTCTCAGAGACCTAGGGGTAACTGCGGGGCAGCATTCCAGGCCCCGGCCAGGAAGGCTCTCCTGCCTCCCCAGACCCCATTCCTGTCCTCATCTGGGACTCAGCTGCCCGCCAGCAGCCCCCTTCAGCAGCGGCTTACCTTGCAGGCTGCGGAGCGGGGCCGGTGGCCTGGGAACAGTCTGGGGACGGAGGGAGCGACCTGGTGGAAAAACCACAGGCTGCCAGAGGACCCAGAGCTGTGGCCGCAGCCGCGCGTTCTAAGGGCCGCCCAGGAGGGACACTGAGACCAGGCCCACTCCTCTTACAAGACTGACCTCGGGCTGTTGTCATGCCCCAAGCAGTCCCCCGAATTTCAAATGAGGAAGTTAAACCGCAGATTTAAACAATAGGATGCAGACACCCGAGCCTCAAGAGCAGGGAATGTTTAGTGTATTCTGAGGAATGAGGTGGGCACGTTTGCGAAACTGTCAAGGTTTAGTTGACAATGTTAAAGTGAAAAATGTGCCTCAACTGCACGTACCCACCATAGCGCTGATTGGGAGAATCCTCCTTAGAACAGATCTCACTCACGTAGACCACCGTGATGTGTTGAAGGCTTGCTCCGTGCAAGGCCTTGTCGGTAAATAACTCTCACGTAAGGCGAGATGAGAGGTCCCTCAGAGAGGGTAAATCTCAGAAATTGAGATTGCATCTTGGAGGGCTTCATGGAGGAGGTGACTTTGGAGGAAGATTCAGATGTGGATGTGTGCAGGTAGGAAAGGAGAGAATTCGACACAGAGGGCACAGCACGAGCCAAGGAAGGGCCATAAGGCAGCATGAGCAGGTGCTAAAGCCACGAGTTGTCCAGTTACGCTGGCAGTGGGGGGCTTGGGAAGAGGATTCCTGGGGAAAGGGGAGCCTGGAACCCTGTTTTAGAGGGCCCTGAATGCCATGCTCAGAGTCTGGATTTTATATGGTAAGCAGACGGGAGACACTTTTTAATAATACTTACCCACATTTGCATTGTGTTGCAAAATTTATAGAGCACTTTCTTATTTGATTCTCCAAAACAAAACAAATGACGACACAGCACCCTGCGAGGAGCGTGATTACTGTTACCCTGGTTTCAAGGGGAGGAGGGGGACTCAGGGGCCCAGGGGAAGAGCTAGAACTGGTTCTCAAACCTTGAACCTCCCCATCTTGGTCCTTCCTGTTCCGTGGCAGTGTCCGTCAGGTGAGCTGGGAGTGAGGGGCCAACAGGTCCTATTTGTGTCCGGGAGAAACAAATCACTCTGCATGCTGTGTACAGGAGGGGACGCCAGGGAGAGCGTGAGCTGGGAAAAGGGGAGACTCGGAGGGTGTGACATTGCCATAGCAACAAGAGTGAGGCCAGACTGGGGCAGGCTCCTGGGGATGGAGGACACGGGGCAGCCTGAGACACACCGGCCAGTCAAGAGGTGGAATTGCTAGAACCTGGCAGGATCCTGCAGGGATGAGGGGAGGGGGTGAGAGGAGGGAGAGGTCCAGCCCGAGGCCCACATTTGGGTTTGGAGACTGAGGATCGAATTCCCTGTGTATTTATAGTGTGTGGGAGGTATGTGGAGTAGGGGGAATATGGGGGGGGGGTCCCTGGGAATCCTGCACCATCTGAGGCAGATGGACCAATAAAGGGCTGGGGTTGGAAGTCAGGTGTCCCCAGGTTCGAATCCTACCGCTGGTCCCTTCAGGGGTAAGTTATTTAAGCGTCTTGAGCCTTTATCTGTGAGATATAAAAATAGGCTCTCCAGAAAGAGAAGTTATTGCTAGAAAACTGGTTCAATCAATGGAGATTGTAATCATATTTGCTTAAAGGATTGATCCGAGGATCAAATAAGCTACGGCTTGTGGAGCCCCGCGGAAGGGGACGCTGGTGAGGGTTCACACTCTGTCAGCACCACACTGCGCTGTCAGCCTTTACGCCACGCCTGTAGTAAGTCCCCATCATGGCACCTTGAGGCACAAAATGTTCATGCTCATTTCACAGATGAGGATGCAGGGGGCTAGAACCTCCTCAGAGCTTCACGATGCTTGGTGCTGGAACCAACTTGGCCCTTACGTTGCAGATAAGGTAGTGAGGCAGCAGTGAAGGAATTAACGCGCCTGCAAAGGCAGGGCCGGGCTTCGAAGCCGGCAGGCTGGCCCCGGGCCCCCCAGGACCTAGAGCCAGGCTGGGCACTGCCCAGTGTGGAGTGGATGGCTCTGGGTGAAGGTAGCAGGCTGGGGTGCCCGGGGGTCCGAACGCAGCCTCTCCTGATCACTGTGGGGTCTTTCTTCTGTCTGTCCCCAGCCTCCGGCCGCTCGCATCCAGCCAGCCCCAGCCCACCGGGGCCACAGGCCAGCCCGGTGCTGCCCATCAGCTACAGGCTGTCCCACACGCGGCTGGCGTTCTTCCTGCGGGAGGCGCGGCCCACGCCGCCGGCGGTTGCCAACAGCTCCCTGCAGCGCTCCGAGCCCTTCGTGGTGTTCCAGACCAAGGAGCTGCCTGTCCTCAATGTCTCCCTGGGGCCCTTCACCACCAGCCAGGTGGTGGCCCGGGAGCTTCTGCAGCCGTCCAGCACCCTGGACATCCCCGAGCGCCTGACTGTCAACTGGAAGGTGCGAGCCTTCATCGTCCGCGCCCGTGTGCCCGCCTCGCAGCCCGTGGCCCAGGTGCTGTTCTACGTAGCCGGCCGGGACTGGGACGACTTTGGTGTCACGGAGCGGCTGCCCTGTGTCCGCTTGCACGCCTTCCGAGATGCCCGGGAGGTCAAGAGCTCCTGCCGCCTCAGCGGGGGCCTGGCCACCTGTCTTGTGCGGGCTGAGCTGCCGCTGGCCTGGTTTGGGCCCCCGGCCCCGGCCGCACCGCCCAACATTCGACACAAGTCTCCAGAAAGGCTGGAGCCCGAGTTGGCAGGGGAGAGCCAGCAGGCTGAGCTGTACTACACTCTCCATGCCCCAGATGCATCTGGGGGCTGCGGGGGTACCCGGCGTGCGGCTGGGACTGGAGTGGGCGCCCGGGCGGAGAGCCCTCCCCAGCACCCGCTGCTGCGCATAGGGAGCATCAGCCTGTTCCGCCCGCCCCCCAGGAGGACGCTGCAGGAGCACAGGCTGGACAGCAACCTGATGATCCGCCTGCCAGATCGGCCCCTCAAGCCAGGGGAAGTGCTCAGCATCCTCCTCTACCTGGCCCCCAACTCCTCGTCTCCCTCCAGCCCCAGCGTGGAGCATTTCACACTCAGGTAGAGGGTGTGGGTCAGGGTCTGTCTTCCCTTCCAAGGTCAAATGCATATCTGACCCTTTGTGGGGGCTCACCCAGCCTGCCTGCCCTGCATCCCTAGCCCAGCTCTTCCATTTATCACTTGATCAGCCTCAGGAAGACACCTCAGTTATTCGAGCCTCAGTGTTCTCATCTGTCTAATGGCAACATAAATCCCCGCCCTACTTCCGGATCTCACAGAAATGACATCCTGGTAAAGGAGAAACATCCATTGTCACAAGCTTGGATGTCCAAAAGGGTAGAATTGGGTCTGGAAGGGCCCTTAGACATTGGCTGGTTCCAGCCTCCCATTTTACAGATGAGGAGACTGAGGCCAAAGAGGAGAAATGGAGAACAGAGAGCAGCTCCTTGCTGGGAGCCAAAAGATGAACAGGAGTGTGTGCGTGTGTTGGGACATTTGCCTAATCCTAGAGTCGGGAGAAAGCTTTCAGGAGGCCCAGCTCTTTCTATACCCTGAGGATACAGTTCACAAATTCAGAAATGCCTTAAATTGTATCACAGTCCCACAAAATATAGTGATGTCTCACAGTAGGAATCCATGATTTGAGTCACGTTCATAGGAAAACGCCCCCTCCCACCTCAAGCTCTATGAAATAGAACCTGGAACATCGTTATTAGCCTCCGACTTCTTTAAGTATCACCCTCTCTCCTGGTGTGCTACCTTAAAGTTCAAATATTCCCAGAAAGGATCACACTTATTCAATGATCGATACCTGAACGTGAATTTGAGTTAAGCCGGTCATCAGAGATCACGGGCTGCATTAATAGAAATAGAGCATGTAGAATTAAGGAGGTGACGATCATTCTGTTGCAGTCAGTGTTTATTCGAGCACAACAGAAGTGTTGTATTTACTCTAGGGCACTATACCATACAGGTACAGTGTCCAGAGGAGGGTGACTGGAATGTGTGTGACTTGAAACTACGGCAAAAACAGCAATGGGAGGAACTGGAGATTTTAGACCTAGAGAAAAGAGACTCATAGAAACCTGCCCACCTTCCCAGCTTTCTGAAGAACCGCTGCAACTTGCTGCAACTAAGATGGAGGGGAGTTGTTTTCTCTTGCCCCAGCAGGACCCACGGTTGAGGGAAGGTGTTCTAATCCTTCAGGGCTTTCTGAAACGGAATGGGTGTGTGCGGAAGCGGCGAGACCCTGGTCACTAGGGTGTGAAGCCGAGGTTAGGTGAAGGCTGAGCAGAGGTACGGCAGGAGTGACTGCAGCCTCCGCTGAGGGTCAGAGGTCGTGGCTACGTGATACCAAACTCCCCAGATTAGTCTCCAGCTTTGAGCCTAGGACCCAGGGTAACTTGCTCACCTGCTTCCCCTACTACTAGCCCCAGCCTGGGGGTCGTGACCAGGTGGGCAGCTGTTGAGGCCTCGGCTGACCTTCTCCCTCTGCTTCCTCCCCTTTTGTCTCAGGGTGAAGGCCAAGAAGGGTGTGACCCTTCTAGGCACCAAGTCACGGAGTGGCCAGTGGCACGTGACCTCAGAGCTTCTGACTGGGGCAAAGCACTCAACAGCCACCGTGGATGTGGCCTGGGCCCAGGGCACACCCCTGCCGCCGTGGTGAGCCAGGGTGGCACCTCTGCCCACCTTTTTGCAGGACAGGCACCTGGAGCAGTGGGGGGTTCTTGGTGGAGGAGCCGGGCTTGTGGGAGGTCTGGGGCTTAGTTCGTGGGGACTCTGAGTCCAGGCGGGGCACTCGGGTGGCTGGAGAAGGCTCAGAGGGCCCCAGAAGGCAGGCGGCCGAGGAGAGCTGGGGTCCCCACAGGGGTTCCAGAGCTGCTCCCAGCCCTTCCTTTCCGGCTCTCCTTCCTCCCGCACCCGGCAGGGAGGGCCAGGGGCCCCTGGAGATCCTGCAGCTGGACTTTGAGATGGAGAACTTCACCAGCCAGTCGGTCAAGCGGAGGATCCTGTGGCACATTGACTACCGCGGCCATGGCGCTCTGCCCGACCTGGAACGGGCAGTCACCGAGCTGACGGTCATCCAGCGGGATGTGCAAGCCATCCTGCCCCTTGCCATGGTGAGCAGGGCGGTGGTCATGGGTGGTGTGTGACGGGAATGTGCACGCTGAGTGTGTGTAGGCCAGTGCACGCGGTCCCGGAGGGGTGGCCATACAGTTGAACCGTGGAGGCCATGTGCGGGAAGGGCCCATACAATCAGAGCAGATCAGGAGGGTGCTCCAGGCCGGGGAGCGTGCAGACACAGGTGCAACGGCGGGAACGGGAGTGGTTTGTTCGAGGGAGCAGTGGATTTAGGAAGAGTGCATGAAGGTGGGAAGGCCGCAGTGATCTGGGGCCAGCCAACCCAGGAGCACCTTGCATGGCCAGGGAAACGAGTTGGACGTCCATCTGTGAGCCCTGGGAGCGAGGAAGGTGTCAAGAGAAGATGGGAAGAGCCTAGGGGCAGGTTGTTTTCTGGCAGCAGAGGGAGATGAACCATGAAAGTGACCAAAGTCCCAGCCAGCTGAGCACCTGGGAAGGTGCATGAGGCTGGGTGGATAGCCTCTCCGCTCCTGGGTGCAGGAGTCCCCAGGGAAGGGTGCGCATCTGGGGAGTGGGGCAGTCAGGAGCCAGGGCCTTGGCTGGTGTGTCCTGGGGGAGCAGGGACCTGCAAGCACCCCGGCTCAGCAGAGCCCCTTCATCTCCTCCCCACAGGACACAGAGATCATCAACACGGCCATCCTTACTGGCAGGACCGTGGCCATCCCTGTCAAGGTCATTGCCATCGAAGTGACTGGCCTCGTCCTAGATGTCTCTGCCCTGGTGGAATGTGAGTCTGACAATGAGGACATCATCAAGGTGAGCTTCCTGGAGGTGGGGCCCGTGGGAAGAAGGCCTCAGACCTTCAAGGGGGAGCCCCAAGCCGGAGGGGAGCTGGCAGCCTGTGCAGGTCCCCTTGGTAGGCAAGAAGACCTGAAATTAGGGGCAGGAGTGGGGAAGAGCTGTGGGCATCCCTGTTCAGCCCGAGCGGGCTGAGGGAGAGGCCTGGGTACCTGCCAGTCCTGGAGGGCTGCCTGTAGGAATGTGGACAACCACGGGGAGAAGGAGGCATTGATGACTGGAACTCACTCCAATCTGGCAAGTTGCCGTGGAGCCCCTGCTGTGTGACAGAGCCTGGGCACGGCCCGGGGGCCGGGGCGGACCCCTGAGACATGCCCGGGACGCTGGTTCCAAATGGAGGAGATCCAGCACAGGGAGGAAGCTTCCAGAAGCGCGTGAATTAGGCCAGGAGTGAAAGCTGTATAAGGAAGGACCCGCTCTGGGCAACACCCCCACTCCTCCAACTCCCGAAGGCCCCTCCCTGAGCTCCTCCCCAGAGACCCATTCTGGGCCCTGAGTCCTCCAGGGTTCAGCAGACAGGGCACTGATCAGACTCAACTGGCCCAGTTGCCACCTCCCCAGGAGGGCCTCCAGATTTCCCCCCGCCCCTGGCTTTGGATAACGGTCGGAGGCAGTAGAGAGGGCAGTAACGCAGGAGGTGTCCAGCCCCCGTACCTGGGGGTGGGCGAGCTGTTTGCCACCCAGCCACCAGCGGGTGCCCAAATCACATGATTAAACACAGGAATCTGTTCCCCATTCCCGTCAATCCTCCAGCTTAAAGGAGAACGGCAGGGTGGGGGTGTCCTCCCTCCGGCTCACTGGGGCTTAACCTGGGGTACACACCCTCTCCACACTCTGCCCTGGGTCCCTCCAGGTCTGGGGAGCCCGGATGAAGCTCACCTCAGCTGTGCCCCCATCCAGCAAGAAGTCCTGCCAAGTGAGCCAGAGCAGGTGGCTTGGCCCCCACCCCCGTCACCTCCTGGGAGTAGAAGCTTGCCCAGGCCCAGGGGCCCTCCGCTGCTGGCAGGCTGGCACAGGAAGAAATGGGCCTGCTCCCAAGAGCCCGACACCTTTCCCTGCCACCCAGACACCGCCACCTCAGCCCCAGAGGGACCAGAACAAAGCCGCGATGGCTCAGATACCAAAGGGAATTAGCGAAGATTCTAAATGGAGCCTGTTTCCATTCTCAGTGAAATACACACGGGTTCTTTATGGAGTTTGCCAGTATTCTAAATGGAGTTTGCCGGCCTTCAGATGGAATGCTCTGTCTTCCGAAGTGGGAGATGCGCATTTCTGGCAGGGCTGCTGTTCCCCTTCCACCCACCCCTCGGAGATGATTAAGAGAGCTAGCAGGAGTTTGGGACAGTCCAGGGGCTCATCTCCACAAATGAGCCACAGACCAGAACCCTCCCCACCCCAAGCAGAGCCGTCAGGGTGTCATCAGCCCCCAGACTGCATCCAAACATGAGATGTGCACCCACGGGCGCGCACCAGCTGGAGCACCTAAATGCACTGCACACAGTGTTCACTCCAGGTGTGTATGTGGGTGCGTTTGACACGTACACCCATCTGCATCTGCCATGAAGGACTGGCCGCGACACCTTCGTGAGTGGGCACAGGTATCCACGCAGATGTGTTCAGTGGGCAGATGCCCATCTGGGGAACCTCTAAGCTGCAAGTTGGCATCCAGGTGGGCATGCATTTGCAAACGCTGCCGCCATTGGTGGCAATAATCCACCTGTCTGTGCTTGAGGTTCTCTGGTGCTGATTTTCCTCTCCCCTTCCCTCGCCTCCACCCCTGCCTGGAGCAGCCCCCTCACCTGAAATTAACTGGTGCCCACTTTCCTGGGGCTGCTGAGCCCGAGGGGCCTGGAGGAGCCATGCCCCGCCCCTCTGCCTGACCTCCTCCTGCTCCAGAGCCCAGGTAGTCATGCAGGGGACGGGAGCCAGTACAGAGGACCCTCAGCCTGCAGGCTCCTCCGAGGTGTGGCCTGGGCATCGGAAGCTGCCCCTCGTAGAAACATCTGCACGTTGGCTCCTTGCTAGGGAGCACACCCCTCCCACAGCACCCCTAAGAGCCGGTCTCTGGAAAAACAGGTTGGAGGCGGGACACAGAAGCTGACAGCTCCTACAGGAACTGCATTAGGAGGTGCCTGGTCCCCCCGCCGGCCCTTCAGCCTCCTGTGACCGGCACTTTCTCTCAGCAGCAGCCTTCCGGCCCTGCTTGTCAGCCTGCAGTCCCTTGCACTGTCCCGCAGGACGACCTGTAGGGCAAGACATGCCAACCCCCTCCCTCTCCCTCCCCAGGTATCCAGCAGCTGTGACTACGTGTTTGTCAGCGGGAAGGAGTCTCGAGGGTCCATGAATGCCAGGGTCACCTTCCGCTACGACGTCCTCAATGCCCCCCTGGAAATGACAGTCTGGGTCCCCAAGCTGCCCCTGCACATCGAGCTCTCGGACGCCCGCCTCAGCCAAGTGAAGGGCTGGAGGGTACCTATCCTCCTCGATCGGAGGTACAGCCCCCCCCCCCACACGGCAGATACTTGGGACACTCGTGGATGACACAACCCTGGCACACAGTCTGATCTGCATGTGTGTGTAAGGGCTTAGATGTTCACAGTCTACGGGTTGGTTATGCAATCAACAAACTTGCTGAGCAGCTACTGTGTGCCAGGCACTGATGGGTACTTGAGATGCGGGATGAGCGTGGCCTTCCTCAGCCAAGTTCTGGGTCCACCAGGGAAACCAGCATGTATATGCCACAGAGTATGGTGGATGCAGGAAGCGGGGAATTGAGTGGCACGAAGGAAAGAACCACTTCTTCCCTACAGGAAAAGTCAAGGCAGGCTTCCTGGAAGAGGTGACTCTTGAGCTAGGTCTTAAAGGATGAGTGGAAAGGAATTGTCTGGGGAACAGGGTGAGAGACCAGTCAAACAGCAGACAAAATGGAGCAGATGCAGTAACACAGGAACACACACACCTGTACACATGTGCCCCAGCCTGGGCACTTGGAGGCCAACTTGTAAAATACAAAAACACAAGGGAGAGAAGCAGGTGGCCAAGTGAGAGTCGGGCTCAGAGTTCTGCAGAGATTTGGGAAAACAAGGCGGGATAGATCAGAGCCTCTCAAACTTGAACGTGCACACAACTTGTCTACGGATCCTGGCAAAATGCAGAGTCTGTGTTTTGGACCAGCTCCCCGGTGAGGCTGATGCTGCTTTGAGTAGTGAGGACGGAGTGGTCTCTGAAGCCAGACAGGCGGGGTTTGAACACGGACCTCTGCTCTTCACCAGCCGGGCAACCATGGGCCACGTACAGGACTGCTCCGTGCCTCGGTTTCCTCATCTGTGAAATAGGCACAGTGACACTTTACTTCACAGGATTGCTGTGAGGATTAATTTAGTTCACACAGGTAAAAGAACCCTCCGAGTGAATGGATATCCCGGCGCTTGATTCTTCTAAGCACTGGCACACCCTTCACACAAGAGGATCCCCTGGTTTTCCCGTTTAAGACAACCTGAGCATCCTCCCGATCGTCACATCCTGGGTCCCTTTTGTTCACCAGTTCTTCCCTCAATTTTTCTCTCTCCTTGTGCATTTAACTAGAAGAGAAACCCAGGCTGCCCCTTCGACACTGTGCTGGGGACTCTCGGCTAAACGCCCAGGTTCATGGCTTGGCCATTCCGTTTGCCCCGTAGCACAGGCCGGCCGGCGCAGCTCCCTGGCCCGGGCAGCAGGGACTGCCGCTCCAGCTTGGCGCTGAGAGAGGGCCAGGCACACACTCGTGCTGAAAAGAGCACTCGTTGGGGTTTGAGGCCAGCTTTTCCCGGCGTGGGCGAAGCCAAGCAGAGGCGGAGAGGAACCAGGGAGGGGAAAGCCTGAGACTCCTGGTCCACGCGTGTCAGGAACGGGAGTGAGCCAGGCAAAAGGCTTGTCATTGCTCAGCTTCCACCCACGGGAGCCAGAGAGTGGCTGGCAGGGCCGGGCGGGGATGGGGGGGGCTGTGCGGGTCACTGCCAGGGTGAGGGGCTCTGATCCGCGTCCCACCCCAGGTCGGCCCGGGAGAGCGAGGACGAGGACGAGGAGGAGGAGGAACGACGGCAGAGCACCAGCCGCGGCTGCGCCCTGCAGTACCAGCACGCCACTCTGCAGGTCTTCACCCAGTTCCACACCACGTCATCGGAGGGCACCGACCAGGTGGTCACCATGCTGGGGCCGGACTGGCTGGTGGAGGTCACCGACCTGGTCAGCGACTTCATGAGGGTGGGTGACCCCCGCGTGGCACGCATGGTAGACAGCAGCACGCTGGCAGGCCTGGAGCCGGGCACCACCCCCTTCAAGGTAGGCATGGGGGCAGTGCCGGGAGTGTTCACCTGTGGGCAGAGGATGCAGACATTCTTAGGACAGGAGCCCCAGCCGGCACCCCCACCTGCCCCTCTGCCTGAAGTGCCACCGTCAGAGGTCAAGGTCCTTTCGTTTCACCTTGGTGAAGGAGGGGAGCCTTTCCAGCCCGGCCAGCCCTGCATCACGTGCGGGCCCTGAGGGCAGGTGTGGATGGGGCGGGAGAGCAGGGGAGGGCCCGGCCTCCGAGGCCAGGAAAGGGAGTCCAGGACCCCAGGACTCAAGTCTGACCTTCCTCCCTGACAGCTGGTGCCTAAGTAGGAATCCTCCCCTGCGAGATGGTAACTAGTGACCCATGGGCTGGAATCTGCTTGCAGAAAACTTGTTTGTAAAAAACGATTGATCCTGCCCTGGCCAGTTTGGCTCAGTGGTTGGAGCATCGGCCTGCGGACCAATGTGTCTCAGGTTCAGTTCCGGTCAAGGGCACGTGCCTGGGTTGCGATTCCTCCTGGGTCCTGGTTGGTCGTGCAGGAGGCAGCCACTTGATGTGTCCCTTTCACGTCGATGTCTCTCTCTCTCTCTCTCTCTCTCTCTCTCTCTCTCTCTCTCTCTCTCCCCCCACCCCACTCTATCTGAACAAAGGTAGAAAAATGTCCTCAGGTAAGGATTGAAAAACAAAAAACAATTGATCCTACATTTTGAAATGTGGAAGTTCTTCATTTTGTAGAAATCTAGATTTCTGGTTTTACAAAATATGACCCTGGAAACACAGGGTCTGCCTTCCCACCTGGCACTAAGCTGCTGGTCAGTACTGGTGCCCCCTATCCGTGGGGACGGGCTGTCCCATCCACCACAGTCCCCACCACTCCCTTTGTCTCCCTGACACTGAGGTTGGAACAGCAATTGCTGTTTATCACTGTGCAGGTCTGTTGTCTCCTCTATATCTACCCCTCTCTCTCGGTGCTCTGGGAGCCCCTGGCCCTCCCGTGGCCCCGGACCTCAGGCAGCGCCGCCCCGCCTGCCCCACCCCCGGGCCTCTCTTCCAGCAGCCCTGGGACTCCTCCCTGGGTGGTGATCCTGGGGTGCTGCTTTCCTGGCCTTCACGCAGCCCTGCCCCTCTCTGCCTCAGGTGGTGTCCCCACTGACAGAGTCTGTGCTCGGGGAGACACTGCTGACAGTGACAGAGGAGAAGGTCAGCATCACACAGCTGCAGGCCCAGGTGGTGGCCAGCCTCGCCCTCTCCCTGCGTCCAAGCCCCGGGAGCAGCCACACCATCCTGGCCACCACGGCTGCCCAGCAGACCCTCAGCTTCCTCAAGCAGGTAACTAGATGCCCAGCCTGCCAGCCTGGGGGCTTGGAGTGTGGAAGGAGGGCTTGCAGGCTCTGACTTGCCCGTGTGCCATGAGTCCCCCAGATTAGGGCTTCAGGTAATGGCAGACCTCTCTACCCTCTGCACCCTGCATGCCTGCTCCGCCCCATCCCACAGGGAGTCTGGCCAAAGTCTTACTTCTTGCACCTGCCACCCTGAGATGTTCCTGCTGAGGGTTCCCCCTCTTGGCTTCTCAGAGGGCCCATCACCTCTGCCTCCACCCCCAGGGAGGATTACCCGTACCCCTTCCTGGAGCCCCAACAATAGCGCGCGCGCGCGCGCACACACACACACACACACACACACCCCACAGACATGCCAGGGCACTGGCTATGGGCAGTGGAGAGGTGGCATGCCCTGCACCCTCTCCACAACCTCCAGAGGAGCACTCCCACTCTGTCGTCCGTGAGCACCTGCCACCTGCCAGGCACAGTTCCAGCGCGGGGAGTACGGCAGGGAGCTGGAATACCTCGGTCCCTGCCCTCACGAAGCTCAATATCCAACTGGGAAGCCAGCCAGGACAAGCTCTGACTCCTCTCCCCTCTCCTCCTCCTCCAGGAAGCCCTCCTGAGCCTCTGGCTCTCCTACAGTGATGGCACCACAGCTCCACTCTCTCTCTACAGCCCGCGGGACTATGGGCTGCTGGTGAGCAGTCTGGATGAGCGGGTGGCGACAGTGACCCAGGACCGGGCCTTCCCGCTGGTGGTGGCCGAGGCGGAGGGGGCCGGGGAGCTGCTCCGTGCGGAGCTCACCATCGCCGAGAGCTGCCAGAAAACCAAGCGCAAGAGTGTTCTGGCTACAACCCCCGTGGGCCTGCGGGTGCACTTTGGGCGGGAGGAGGAGGACCCCACCTACGACTACCCGGGCCCCAGCCAGCCGGGGCGCGGTGGGGGTGAAGACCAGGCTCGGGGAGCCGGCCCTCCTGGCACAGGGGTGTCCCCACCTGAAGCTCCAGGGCTGGTCACCGCCAGCCCGGCAGTGCCACCCACAGAAGACTTCCTGCCGCTGCCCACGGGCTTCCAGCAGATGCCGCGGGGACTGACTGACCTGGAGATCGGCATGTACGCGCTGCTGGGCGTCTTCTGCCTTGCCATCCTCGTCTTCCTCATCAACTGCATCGTGTTCGTGCTGCGGTACCGGCACAAGCGCATCCCGCCCGAGGGCCAGACCAGCATGGACCATTCCCACCACTGGGTGTTCCTGGGCAACGGGCAGCCGCTGCGGGTGCAGGGGGAGCTGTCGCCTCCCGCCGGCAACCCGCTGGAGACCGTGCCCGCCTGCTGCCACGGCGACCATCACAGCAGCGGCAGCTCACAGACCAGTGTCCAGAGCCAGGTGCACGGGCGGGGCGATGGCTCCTCGGGGGGCTCTGCCCGGGACCAGGCCGAGGACTCCGCCAGCTCGCCCACCTCCAAGCGTAAGCGGGTCAAGTTTACCACCTTCACCACGCTGCCCACAGAGGAGCTGGCCTATGACTCGGTGCCCGCCGGCGAAGAGGACGAGGAGGACGAAGAGGACCTGGGTTGGGGCTGCCCAGAGGTGGCGGGCACCACGCGGCCTGCTGCACCCCCAAACCTGCACAATTACATGCGCAGAAACAAGGAGGTTGCATAGAGGCACCATCGCCCCGTGGGGTGGGCTCTGTGTGGGACACCGCCGGGACCCTGCTCACACTGTCCTGGCGGCTGCTGTGGATTTGAATGCCCTGCCCTTGCAGCTTTGCTCTTTGCGGGGCCGCCGCCTCCCTCCCCTGGTCCCTCTTGTGGCCTCACACCGGTACCTTCTTCTGCCACCGCAGGTGGAGGGCGCCTTCCTCGGCTCGCGGGGAGGAAGCAATGCCGGCCCTCCTTCTGCCCTTTCCAAACCTCCTCTCGTCTTAGACAAACCTGCCCCAAGAGTGAGGCACCGAGGCCGAGCCTGGGGCCAGGTGGGCCCACACTGTGAGCTGGCCCTGCCTCCGTGTCCCCCCACGCTGGGGCTCTGTGGGGTCTTGTGTCACAAGCTGCACAAAGACTTTCTCAAACCACTATTCAGGGATTTCTGTCCTGCAGGGCAGGGAGGCAGCAGCTGCCTGCCCTGCCGAGGATCTTGCTGTGGACAAAACATGTGGGAGGTTGGGGGACACTTGTAGCATCTTCTGGCTTTCTGGTACCCCAAGTCCCTTCCTAGGGCGTGGGGACTGACCCCAGAGGGGTCTGCGGCCAAGCCAGGCACCTTCCTAAGAGCCCAGGACTCCCTCCCCTGCCCCTGAGGGCTATAGAAGTGGCCTAAAGGGAGGAGCCCTCAGCCCGCCCCTAGCCAAGCCACAGCCCAGAGCACCACGGTCTGGAGGGGGCTCCCACCCACCCCACAGCAAGGTCAACACTACGCCTTAGCCCCTCCAGCTCTGCTGACCACTCTCCCTCCTCTGCAGGGGCAACCACGCATCCCCCCTGGGAACTGCGTCTGGGGGGAAGGGGAGGGGACCCCAGGAAGTGCTGTGAAGCACCTTGGGATGGGCAAGGCAGGAGGGAGCCGGGCATCTCCCTTCTCCGCCCCACAGCCACTTGTCTCCCGGGTTCTACCCCCACTGTGTCGGGTTTTCTTAAATAAATGGAGGTGACCAGATCGGAGGTGGGGGCAGCGGCTCCCGGAGAACAGACAGTACCTGGTGGCTGGCTCTGTGTCTCTTCTTTATGTGCACGCATGCACACCCCCCACACGTGTACACACATGCACACTGCGGGCACACTAAATGACAAAGTGGAAACGACCAAGCCCGCTGCTGTCCTGCTCTCCCCCCCCCAACACCCAGGTCCCTCAGACCTCTGTGCACATGCCCACATGAGAGGGTGAAGGGCTTACTGACCCAATTATGTGCCCTTACAAAGGGCTGCCACCTCCAGGCGTCTGCCATGATTGCTCAGGAGGGAGAGGCCAGCCTCAGGCCTCCAGAGAAATGCCTTGGGGGTGAAGGGAACTGAACAATAAGGGGAGAAGTGAGAGAGGTTGGTGTGCACGTCTGAGTTACTCGCTTCCTGTCAGAGGGCTTCCCTCGCATCACCATCACCACCTCCCAGGGAGGCCTCCTTTCTCCATGGGTGGATGGGGAAAGCCTGGTGGTTTCCATGGCAGGAGCCAGGCAGGAGAGAGCAAAGCCATTGGGTGTGCCCTCCCTCGCAGTGGTCGGTGGGCTGGTCCTGGAAGACCAATCCCTCAGGGGCACCGGAGCACCTGACCTGAGGGGGCACCTGCCCAAGGCTGCCTGGCCAGCTCCCGCACCCTGGACAGGTGGCTCCATCGACCGTCTTGGAGAGGGGAGAAGCCCAGCAACCAGCACCTGTTGCAGAACGGACCATGGGCAGGACAGGCACCTGCCCCGATGTGCTGTAGCCACCTCGGAGGATGCTTGCCTTGCACAGTCCTCTGCTCATTGATAGTGGCAGTCCTGGGGGCACTGTGAGGATTAAGTGATATCAGGTCTATGAAGCTCTCTGCCTGGTGCCCAGCAGGAGACAGCGCCTGGCTCAGACAACAAATGGAGTTTGCTGCATCCGGACTTCATGTTCAGGTCAGGTATGGCCCTGAAGGAAGACTAGCGATTGGCCTGCTCTGCCCAAGATGAGTTGGCAACAAAGAATGGGTGTAGCTCAGCGGCAAGGAGGGAGCTACAGGGAAGCCGTGCCTAGGGCAGAACCAAGAGGCAGAACTACTATCCTCAAGTTCCCAGAACACCAGATACCAGCTATTCAAATAAGCCTGACAGTGACCTCCTAAAGGGGTTCTCTGTCATCTTTCTTAACCCACAGTGCCTAGAATCAATGTTCAACAAGTGTTTGCTGACTAAAGTCCAAACAAAAACTATAAATGGCTTTGTCATTATTCACATCTGGGGATGTTTCTATACCCTGCCATCTTAGCACCTGATCAGTGAGGAAAATCACAAGTTACAGAAAGAGAGCAGGACAGAGGTGTGATTCGGGGAAGAACAAATATTCTGGCCTGGGCATGTGTGCATGGGAGGGGGCACTGGTGTTAAAGCTGGGACATGGTTCCATTTGTTTATTCTGCACAGAAAGCTCCTACTATGGGCTAGGCCCTGCCGGCAGATGCAGAGGCAAAACCGTGGGCCTGAGCTCAAGGAGCCCCAGCTCTGCAGGGAAGATGGGCAAGTCAGCTGACCACAGACATCTGGGATAAGGGGTGCTATCTGTGGCAGCTTTGCCCGGGGTTGGTGGGGCATTTTCCGACCGAAGTGGCTGAAGACAAGGTCAGAGACATTTCAGAAAGGGAGGTTGGTGGGTGTGAAGGCCCAGAGACGGCAGGCCTGACCCCCGTGCTTTCTCTTGCTGTTCTGTCTCTGCCTTGCTTGCCCCGTGCCTGGAATCAGAGTCCCTGGGGACAGGGAGACACAATGCATCTATGCCAAGGAATGGAAGCCAGAGGGAGTGGAGGGTGTGGGGGTCAGCATGGATTTGGGAGTCAGGCTCAGACCTGAGTTTCAGATCGTCGCTGGATGAAGGGAGGAAAATTGAAGGGGCAAGGGGCCCCATCAGGAAAATGCTGCAGCAAAAAGGATGGGGCCAGGGCAGTGGGACAGAGAGCACTTTGCCAACTGCCTTATCCCCCACGGTGACGGCCAGGAGGAGACATGAGCCGCTGCTCGGCAGAGACCTTCTTCCCCGTGAACCTCAGAGACAGGCCGCTGCAGGGCAGACGGTGGACGCTAGCATGATGGCAGCCATCAGCATCCAGGCCTCCCCAAGCGGGGAAATGCAGGCCCAGAAGTTACACAGCCAACCCAGGGACAAGCCAGAGCCCTGCCTCCTGTCCCGTCCTGTAATTCGTGTCCCCTTCTCTTCATTCCTCACTCCACGTCCAAATGAGAGAACTGAGAGGCAATTGCCAGAAACGGCTAGTCCTGACCCTCGTGTAGTTCAAGCTTGGAGGAACGAGGCGGGACATTAAGTTAACAGCCCCTCTGGAACAGCCCTGGCACTGAACTCCTCTTTAAAAATTTGTCTTCAACCCCGAAAACGAATCGAGGGACCTTATAAAGAACAGTTATTGACAGAGAGCTGCTCTGGGAACACCAGGGAGCCGGGCCCATGAATCAGCTTGCTAGCAAAATGAGATTTCTCAGACAGCCGCGCGGGGAAGGCAGAGCCGGAGATGCACAGAGCGGCCCTGAGCCTGTCCCCACCCCGGTGCTGGGCTCCTGTTCCAACCCACTCTGCCAGCCTCTCCATGCCAGCCCGGGGCGCACCTCAGGCTATCTTCAACAAATACGGACAAGCACCTCCTATGTGCCAGACACTGTGCCCCACTTAAGAGAAGGCTTCCAGCACAGGGAGCCAAGTGGAGAAAATTGAAAACACAATAAATGGGCCAAAGAAGGAAACTCACTTGAAGTGATGAAATCTCCTAAGCTAGGTTGGCAGGGATGCTGGGGTCTGACTGTGCATTTGCTGTGTGACCTTCAGCCAGTGCATCAGCAGCTCGGGACTCTTGTTTCCCCATTAGTACAAACACGAAAGTCACCACTACTAGGTAGCGTCCACTGACTTCCCCGAAGAGGTCTCGCTGTTTCAACACCTGTATTGCTGACAAGCGTCTAGACACATAGGAATCACTACTCTCATTTTATAGATGAGAAGACGGGAAGACAGAAAGGGCAAGTTACTTGCCCATGGTCTGCGGCATAGAAGTGACCTGGCAGGCAGCTACAAACTTACCCTCTTTCTGCTACATCCTGAAGCAACATTGGCGAATGTTGTTGGAATGAGGTTGGGGACATTTAGCAGGTGGGAGAGGCCCAGGGAGGGTTCTCTAAAGACTTGATGTGCTCAGTGATGGGAGCAGGGTAGGGGACCCCTACTTAAGGCTTAGATCATGGTCAATATTTGGTGGCAGATGTAATACCACAGCCTCTCTGCCACCATGAGACAGGCCATACTCGTCCCCTACAGGGAAGTCTGTCCCCAGCTAACTGTCACAAAAGCCTAGTGTCCAGCCCTCTCTTAGTCACTCCTTCAAGCAGAGAACCACAGGGCTTTGCTAAACAAGGTGCAGAGCTGGGCGCTAAGGAGAGGTGTCCAGCACAGGCAGGGGGACGCAAGCCAGTTCCCATGCTTTCCCTTGGTTGCCCTTCCGACTCTGGGGCCTAAGCAAGAGACACTGGGAAGCTGAGGCCACCCCTATGCCTGCACCCCTGCCACAGTAGCCTGGTGAGTGTTGATGAAATCCTTGCCACCAATCTGACAGAGTGACGAGCAGAGGAAGTAGGAGTATTCAATGACAATCACTAACAATTTCTGAGAGCCCACTACACGTTAATAATCACTTTAGATCCATCACGTCGTTGACTCTTCACAATAGCCAAGTGAGGTAAGTGCCATTATCGTGCCCATTTTACAGATGACAAAACTTGGGCTCAGAGAAGTTATATGACTTATCTCATGCCGCACAGCAAATTCCAATGGCAGAGTCAGGACTCAAACCCAGGTCACACTGGCTCCAACTTCCGCGTTGTCACACTGCCTTTCCCGGCGGAGACCTGGCGTTCAGAGAATCTTTTGGGAGCAGCTGCAAGAGTACCAGGCGGGAGTCCAGGGGCTTGGCAGGAGTTCTCACTC